TTTGCCCTGGTGATGCCAGCACACAGGTGCTTCCCAGCTGCTGAGCCAGCTGCTTACAAGTACGATAGCGCTGCCGGTTGGGGGTAGCAAATTGCTGGCTTGTTGCAGAGCGCCAGCATCTCAGCATAGGATGAGGCTGACCTGTGCACAGAGGAGCTCCTCCTGCTCAGGGTTAGAAAGGAGCTCAATTGCCTGCTCATAGAGATGTAAAGCTTTCCCTCTGTAATTCTCTTTTCTTGTACTTGCCCACTAAGGCAGTAAAGCCATATACTTCTCCTTCCTGCACTCCCATTTGTTTTCCTTTCTCCTCCCTGAGGAGCCCTTAACCTCCCCCTCTCCTGCAGTCACTCAGAGGCAATGCCCACTCTTTGTCACCCATTGAGCAAAGGATGATGAAACTTTTCTTGCAATTTGCTCCGTGCACCAGCGTGGAAATTCGGTGCCCATGCAAGTGGTTATGATCACTCCTTGCAGTTCCTTCCATAGCTTCTGAACAATTCCCTTCTAAAGGAGAGGGCTCATTTGGCCACGCATGGTGTTCCTGCTGCAGGCAGCTGATTGGAGCCTGCATCTCCAGAATGAGCAGCGAATGCATCTGTAAGGAAAAGCCCACAGCAGCACTCCATGCTTTTGCAGGATACCTTTTAAAGCCTTGCACAACTCTTTGGCATATTTTCCTTTTATTACCAGTGATCTGCTGTGTTCTGAGCAGTTTGCATGATGCCACAGTTCACTGTGCAGAAATTACAACGGCACACAGCTTCGTTCTGCCTCCACTTGCATGCCAGTGGCTGTGCTGGTATTGGGCTGAATCAGAGCAGCAGCTTGCATGCAGGCACACCGGCAGGCTTTGACTTGTACATCTTCTCCCACAGTTCTTTGTGGGGTTAGGAATTGCTCCCTGTGACTTTCACACCCGTGCAGTGTTACACGGGAGTGAAGATCTTTCTGATGGGCTTTGTGCAGAATACTGGGACTAAGAATGGGGGAAGGAGCAGATGCTGCTGGTGGTGGAGGTGCCTCTCTCTGCTTCCGCCCCAGCCCTGTGCAGGGTGCCCCGGGTATCTCCGCACCTCTCCTATTGCTTCCTTTGCCCACCCCCTCGTGGCCATAATGTCAGGACAATAAATCTGTTGCAGGAGCTGCTGTCACTCGTCGAGTCATTGCAACGTTTTCAGCTTCTCGTGTTGATAACTGTTGCTGTTCTAAAATTTGAGCTGTCAGTTGCAGTAGTGTCATGGCTCTGTGTTTTTATTGCTTGTTTGTTTGTTTGAGTTTGGGAATGGGCTGATTTCAGGGCAACATAAGAAACAGCCACAATATTTTTTCTTTTACCAAAGTAGCTGTAAGGCTGCTTGGTTCAGACAATAGAATTAATCTATCTTGTCTTCCTTTCCTGCCCTGTGCCCCATTCACAGCTCAGCCTCTCATCTTACAGAACCTTTCCAGATTTCAGCAATTATTTTCTGCCCTGACATTATGGATATGAGTAAACTGTGACATAAGTGTTTAGCGTGAGTTTGGAGCAATTTGGAAGACTTGGGCTGTCTGGCCAATTACCCTTTTCCCAGCATCAGATTTGTCTATACTTGCAGCTCTACATGGATTTGCAGGATTTTTGCCATCCTGCAGTTTGAGCTGCTCCAGCAGCAGTGTGAGCAGCGTTACGCTGTCCCCAGAGCCAGCTGCTGTGTGTCAGACCACCTCAGTGCTGTGGTGCTCTGCATTCTGCTCACACATCTCCGAGGGGGACCAGGAGCAGAGCGGGGCACTCATGTAGGATAAAGAATGTGGAAATTTTGGAGCAGGCACGATTGTGAGCAGCTGTGTAAACAGCACGGCCGGGGGCCGGGCTTACCTTGGCCGTGCGCTGGGGGTGTGGATAACAGGCTCCTTGTGCAAGCCCTGCTTTGGTAACCTCTGCAGTGAGAAAGGAGAGGTCAAAGCAGAGAGTGTGTCAAGGACCAGCGCAGCAGATCTGCAGATTTACAGCGCCAGCACAGCAAGGCCCTCGGCAGAGCTGCAACGCCTTGCCACCACCTCGTGCACCTGCTGCGTGCTGTGGGCAGGGTGAGGGGTGGGCACGGGCAGGACTCAGCAGAGGGATCCGGCCCCACCAGGGCAGGGTATGGGGCTGTGCTGCACCAGGGGTTATTGGCATTGCTGGATGTCACCAGAAAGCAATAAAATGTCAGGCTCGGGAGTAAGTGAAATACGACCTCTTTTGTTGCCTCCGTGACTTGTTTGCTTTAAGTCGGCCATTTCTCAGCATGGCTGAGCCCCTCAGGAAGGGGAGCAGGCCGCGGCTTCGCAGCTCAGTCAGTGGAGGCGAGCGGAGCGTGGCATTACGGAAGCTTTTTTGGCCGCTCTTAAATGCCTCGGCGCGGTGAGCAGCGGTCCAGGCACGGGAGCACCGCTGGGCACTTATTGCCACGTTCGGACCGCGGCCCGACTTTGCGGCAACCCCTCGGCGGCGCCACGCGCAGCCCCCCCCCCCCCCCTGGGGGCGGCGGGGGCGCCGCCACGGCCGCGAGCCCGGCGGGCCGCACGAGGAGCGCCGTTCCGCAGCGGAGGCGATCGGCGCGCTGCTGGTCTCGCGGCCTAAAGCCCGGGACCTCGGGGAGAGCGAAACGCGTGCGCGGCGGACGGCGCCGGGCTGCGCTCGGCCGTAGCAATACCAGCGACACCTGCAGCGCCCCAACCGCCGGGCGCGGCCGCGGGGGTTCCGGGGCGGCGGTTGCCGCGCTTCTGCCAACGCGGGTACGAAGCCGGGGCTCGGTGCCCGGCCTCGTCCAGCAGCCCCAGCCCCCCGCCCCGCGGCGCTGCGTGCTCGCTCTGCCCGGGGGCCGCCCCCGGCCCGGCCGGCAGCGGAGGAGGCCGAGCCCCGCCAGGCCCCGCGCTGGGGGCCGCCCGCAGAGCCCCGCGGTGACATCACGGCTCGTTAGCATAGGGTCGGCCCGCGGGCGGCGGGCGATGGCCGAGGCGGGGAGCCCGGCCGCGCCGCTGGCCTCGCTCCGCGCCGCCGCGACCATGAGGCGGCCCCGCTAGGAGCCGGGGGGATGAAGCGGGACTCGACCTGCATGGAAGGTGAGGCGGGGCCGGGACGGACGGAGCGGGGCCGCCTCGCCCGGCGCCTTTGTTCGGGGTCGCGCTGCCCGCGCTCCGCCCGGCTGCGCGTTGCGGGTCCGGAGCGGGCGGTGGGAGCGGGGAGCTGAGAGCCGAGTGCGGCCGCGGGCGGCCCGAGCGCGGCGCTTTGTTGCGCTCCCGCTGCTGGGTTACGGCGGCCCGGCGCTCGGAGCTGCGCGGCGCGCAATTAAAACAAAATCGTTTGTTCTGTGGCTTGATTTGTTTGTACTTGAAACTTCCTAATCCGTTGGACCATCTGGAAGAGCTTTTTTTAGTATCGTTAATTACGGATGGTACCGGGGTCATGCAGGCTCCCGATAAGGCAGCTCCATCCCCCCGGGACCAGCGCTACTTCGCAGATATTTCACGGCTTTTTTTTTCCCCGTGATCGAAGGCGGTGGCAGAGCCCCACTAAGTGCGCTTCGGAGTCGGGACAGAAATACTTCGTGTGAAAGCGTTAAAGGGAAACGCGTCGGGTGCTCCCGGCCCGAGCTGCCTTGTGCCGGGCCTGCCTTCCCTGCGGCTCCCGGCCGGCCTTCCTTAACCCGGCTCTGTGCTCGTTCGTCCAGCTGGTCTCGGTAGCGCAGTCATCGTAGGATGGGAAGCTGCAATCTTGCTGCTTTGCAACTTATCAATTTTAAAAAATGGTCTCAATCAGATTTTAATCAAGAGCACATGGCCGTGCTGGAACAGCAGAGTTTTTTTTTATCTGGGTTTACAGAAAGTTGACGGCTGAGGAAGCAGAGCTCTGTGCTGATGTGCGCACTGTGGGCAGAGCTCCCCCCGCAGCAGCTGCAGGCTGCCATTCCCTGCGCTGGGGCACAGTTTGGTGAAGTGGGCTTTTGTTCCCAGGGCTTTGTGCAGCTGGTCGTGCCGAGCTGTGCCATGCTCGTTGCCACAGGCTGTGCTCCAGGTGAGCCATACGGCACTGGTGGCAGCCCTTCAGCTGGGACGTGTGTCCCTGCATAGAGTCACGGGGTTCCCCTGACTTCTGGGCAGGGGATTTCTTTTGGTTAAATCCTTCTGCAGAACAAATCGATATGGAATACATCTGTATGCGTTGGTTGCAGTTAGTGGGTGAGGTAGCGCACATAGGTGCACTGGCTGAGCACTCTGTGCCTCCTTAGCATGACATCTTTTTACATTAAGAAGAAAGGCAGCAGGCTGCCTCTTTTCCCCCCCTTCTCTTTTCTATCCTGAGGCTATTAACCTTTCCTATGGTTGGTGTCAGCTCCCCAGGGCGATGCCTGGGCCCCAGCAGCTCAGTCACTGTTTTTCTTGAAAGGAAAAGAAAGTGAAAGAAATCGCTAGGTAAGAGAAAGGGGAAAAGTGATCTCAGCGAGTCTGTTGGTGTTTGAGGCATCATTGGAGGGGAGAGGCAAGTGAGGTTTGGGTGGGATTTAACACGTGTGAGCTGCCCTCCCTGTGCCCCTGGCAGCTGGTGTGGAGCAGCTTGGGAGTTCAGCGTGCTGAGCAGTGCTGTGAGCCCAGAGCTCCAGGGAGAGTGAGTCAGGAAGCAGAGGAACGAGATGTGGTGGTGAAGATGTTAAAGCTATTGATAAATTGCAGTGCTGAGTGTCATCTGTAATCTTCTTCTCAAGGGGACATTTTCTTTGCTTTAAAGTGTGTTCAGTTGCACAAGCTGGAATTTCTGCAAGCTGCAGCTTCCATCATCGCTTCTCAACAAAACTAAATCTCAATAAATTCCCTTTTTGGGATCCCCAGTGGGGGTTTTACATCTTCTTGCCTCGGGTGTGGAGGTGTCAACGTTGCAAAGCCCTGGTGTTGCAGGCAGTGCTCTGAGCGTGTGCACGTGGGCTCTGTTTCCTGGCAGAGCTCTCACGGCAGCTGGAGCTGCTGTGCTTTTGAGCTGCAGAGCATTTCTGCAGCCCTGGGACTGCTGGCATCTGTTCCCCTGCAGGCGTGGTGCTGCCAGCCTGTCCCGAAAGCAGTGAGCGATGATGGATGCTTGCTGGAGCCCGAACGCAAGTCCCAGCACTTTATTTGCGCTGTATTTCTCTGCTCAGTTGTGTGCTTTGATGCTTTCTGTACTTGTGTTTTCTGTGCTTGTGTACAAATGTGCCCAGAAAGTTGAGTGCTGTGTGCTTCAGTAGGAATCTAAGGTATTTCCTCTTGAAAATTCACAGGGATTTTTTTTTAATTTATTTTTTTGGCGTTATCAAGAGTACTCATTTCATTGAGGGAAAAAGTAAGTCTTTTAAAAAACAAGTGCACGGCTTCTCCCATGCAGACAAGTAGAGGTCCCCCCCACTCCCTCGCACTGTCTGTGTGACTCTTGTGTAACATCATGATATTCTTGTAGAATTTACGTTGTATTAAAACGCGGTATGAAGCCTACCATGACCTTTGAAAACAATACATCCTTTAATGTGGCTTTGGGGAGGGGTTAGTGAGAGAGTAGCCATAAAAATCTTCAGGGTTCAAGATGAGGTTGAGATTTTTGTGAGTGCTTTTGTCGTGGCAGCAACTGTTTGATTTAGTGGCCCCTGCGACAATAGGTGGTGAGAACAAAGCCGGAATATCCCGCGTATGAGCCGTTATGTGTGAGACCCATCAGGAGAGCTGAAAGGAAGGATGTTTCCAGATGAACCACATGCAAGCCATTTGGAATAACTCGTTATCGGCGGCTTTGGTTCTTAGTGAGTATTGTCACGTGTGGCTGTTAACACCAGAGGAATTAGTGGGAGGAGGGAGGGCTTCTTTGCTTCAAACAGTTGTTCCTACTGTGTTCCCGTGAAATTTCAAGGTGAAGGGAGCTGAGGGCACCCCAGTGCAAGGCTGCTCTCATTCCACCTGTGCTTTACAAGCTCTGTAAGGCTCAGCCCCAGCGATCCCGGTGTTGGCTCACAGGAGGATCTTGCACTAAATAGTGTGAAAAATAATAGCAGAGGTCAGGAGCTGGCAGACCCGTAGGCTGCAATAGGATCATTGTGACCTGACCACAGTTCCTGCAGGATTTTTTAAATCGCTGGAACTCTCAGGCACTTATTTTCATCCCGCAGTTTTGTTGGAGTAGCAGCTTACGGGGTACATGGGCTTCTCTTTCTTTGATCCCAGGAGGTTTGTTTTGTTTTGTTTGTGGTGTGTGCCACTGTTCTATGGTGAATTTTAATCTGGAAACGTCCTGGTGAGGAGTTTTTGCAGCACGGCACATGCAGCTTGAGGTTCCAGCAGCAGTGGGGTTGCTCACACCACTGCCTGCTAAGTGGGGAAATGGGCACTGTGAGGGAAGGCCCTGATTCCTGGCCGCTTTCATTAGCCGTGCTTCCTATGTTCTCTTGGCGACAGCCCTATTCTTCCCATAACAAAAAGCTGTGCCTGGAAATGAGCCCTCATTTAAATCCCCACCGTTGGCTTGCAGCCCGTGTGATGGCAGTGTGTGATCGCAGTGCTGTGCGGCGTGCGAGGGGAGGGCAGTGTGGGTTTGCAGCATTGTGCAGAGTGTGAGGCTGCTGCAGGCCGGGTTCGCAGCTCTGGGAATAGAAGGGGTGAGGAATGGAGCTGAGTGCTGCATGGGGCCACTGCTCAGCCCCCTCAGCTACCAGGGAGCTGGAGGTGGAGGTGATGCAGTTCCAAATTGGGGTTTGCTGGGCCTCCAGCGAGATTCCCGGCCTGCTGGGAGCCCCACGGTCGGTCCTGCTGCCTCCTGGGGCACATACCTGAGCTGGTCAGTCCTGTAGAACTGGGAGTGCTGTGGAGCAGCGATGACACCACAAAGGCTTCTTCAGTTAAAGTTTGTGTTTCCTTTGCCTAGGCCTTTATTTTAAGTTTCTAGAACAATCACAGTGACATCTGTGAACTTGCATGCTATTCATTGCTAAGTCTGAAAAATGACTGCCAGTTGGTTGTGGTTACTACTGGGTTTGAGCAGAGAGAGGCACGGATGAGAACAGCAGCTGGCTTAGATTTTTGGTTGGCTCGTGGAGCTGAAAACTGGTTTTGTTCCTGACCCTAATGGGCTTGGCTCATTTATTGCTATTGAGCTCAGGTGTTCTCTGGTAGTAAGGAGCTACCCAGAGGTTTGTCAGCTGATACAGATTTCGTGAGGATTGGAGAGCACCTGGCTGTGGCTCCTGTCCTGCTGCTCCAGAAGGGCCCTGGGCAGTAAGGCTGAGGCACAGCCTAGGGGTAGCGCTCTGCTGGGGAGCTCCTGCTCCTCTCCTGCTCCTCCAGCTTTGTTCTGTGTGTGGTAACTTCCCCAGGCTGCATGCTCCCCATCTCCCTGCTGATTTGAGCTGTAGCTATTATGGGAGTTTCTGGAGCAGATTCTGTTGTGTGATTTGAACCCTAGGCAGCAAAGGAGCGATTTCACACATCAGGCCTCTGGTGGATGTACATGCTTCCCTCTGCCTTTTAAGCAGTTTGCTCTGTTGTGTGAAGGGCTGAGGCTGGCTGCAGGAGCTGGGTCACAGCACTCATCCCTGGAGCTCCGTGCAGCCATTGCCACCTCCTGGTGTCTGTGGAAGCTGCGGGCAGTGGTGCACGTCCGTGCGTAGTTGTGTTGAGGCTAAGAAATACCAGAATGAAACCTTCTTAACCAGCTCCCAGAGGAAACGCAGCACAGTGAGATGCAGGTGTGCGGTTCCCTGAGTCCTGTGACCAAAACCCACACCGAGTTCTTCCCATGCCTTGCCAGGGTAGGGTGCTCATGTGTTCACATAATGAATGACACTTGGGAAAGAAGCTGAGTGAGGGATGTGACAGATGTACGTGTCCCACTGCACACAGGAGTAGTGCCCACCTGCTGAGCGCGGCTCTGCTGCATGGTCAGGACTTTGTTAGGTTAAAGTCCTGGGGCAGGAGACGTGGGAGAGGTTCCTCTGGGCTGTGGTTGGTCAGCTGTTGCTGCATAAGGCTGAAGCAATTTGGTGCAATTTGCTGCCATCATTTTAATGCAGTTAACTTTTAACATGAAGCAGGACTTAGACGTCCCTCTAGATAGTGAGCATACATCTAGGTCAACAAAATTGGTTGCTTTAGCCTTCTTTTTCTTTCCCATTTGACATCCATGTCTATGAAGATTACCATGTGCTCACAGAGGTTCCTGCTGAGCAGTGCATCATTCCGCTTTTGTCTCAGAGGGGGTGTTACAGTCTTAAGATATTGAATTTAATATGACAGCTCCTGTTGCTGGGGGCCCATACGGTTTACATTTTTTGTCATCCAGAGGCCTTCCAAAGGTTTAGAAAAGGAATAGTAAAATCAAGTTGTGGCAGCTTAACCTCATGATCATTTTGGCATTAGCACTCAGGATGCGGTGCGTGCGATGGGTCTTTGCGGAGGTGGCCGTGTCTCCGTGTCCCCTTCCCTGCCCCCATCCCAGTGCTGCCTTCCTGTGTGCAGTGCAGCATCCTGCTGGTATCTGCCAGGCGTTCTGTGCTTTCAGTGCAGGGGCCTGCTGTGCAGTTTGTAACCCAAGAAGCACCCAGTTTTCCAAACAGCTGTACGTTTCTGATAAATCATGACTAAAAAAGAGAGCATTTCCAGAGGCTGTCTTTGAGACAAATGTGAGGTGTACTGTTCTTTGTTCTTGCTGTCACTTATTGAGAATTCCTGGATTTGAATCCTGTGGGATGCGGTCAGCTGAGATGGTTTAGCCATAGAGCCCTGCGTACTGCTGTGCCTGGCAGTAGGGCTGGCTGGTGCCTGGGCTGCTGGGAGAGGGGTTCCAGCATGAGCACCTGTGAAATGAAATTCTTTTGGGAAGGTTTTGGGATGTGGCCACAGGGGCAACTCCAGTCCCACTGGAAAAGATAAGATGGCTTGGTGCAGTTGTTTTGTTGACCGCAGAGCCCTTTCTCTTCTCTTCTCTTCCAGATGACCGGGTTGATCAGCGAACCTGCCTGATCTGCGGGGACAGAGCTACGGGTCTGCACTATGGCATCATCTCCTGTGAGGGCTGCAAGGGGTTTTTCAAAAGGAGCATTTGCAACAAGCGGGTTTACAGATGCAGCCGAGACAAGAACTGTGTCATGTCACGCAAGCAGCGCAACAGATGCCAGTACTGCCGGCTGCTCAAATGCCTCCAGATGGGGATGAACCGGAAAGGTAAAGAAACGTGAGCTTGGCAGTGGTGGAGTTCTGGGTGTGAAACAAAAGTTGTAGCTAATCTCAGGCAGAATCACCCGTAGCCTTTTCAGCGTAAATAACCAAAAATTTTATTTGCCTGAATAAGCAACCATGTAAATAAATCTTGGCCTATCTCAAAATTTTTGGTTTGCCTTTCTCCCACCCCTGGCCCTAAGGCAGGCGGAGTCCCTGCTCCTCCCAGCTCAGTCTTGCACAGGTGGGAGCATATCTTGTCATCAGAATTTTATAAATGGGAGTATTTTATTGTAAAACATCTGACTCTGCTGGGAGTCAGCTGAGTCTGCTCTCCCTTGTGCAGGGCCAGGGGCTGTGGCAGCCGTTCCAAAGCCTTCCTGGTCTTTGCTGCATGCCCCCATTCTGTGGAGAACACCTTATGCTCTCCCGCAGGCATCCAGTGCTGCTGTCTGTCCTGGCACCAGGCGCAAAGCTGCGTGGCATGGGGCAGCGCTGCCATCTCCCGGCCAGCAGGTCTCTCGTCCTGCAGCTGCACCTTCGTGGGGATGGGACACAGCTGCTCGTGGGCGGTTATTTAGGACTCTTTGCGAGCACTTCAGGATTGCTGCATGCAGCAGGGTTTTGGAGCTACACCTAAGCATTTGCAGAGTTCACAAGGTAGAAACCTCCCAAACACACAGTGCAGTTGGTGAGGAAGGGACAGGCTCAGCAGGGTCCTGCAGTGAGTCCCGTGCTGCCTCTTGGGGACAGGCTTGCCAATATAAGAAAATTATTGCATAATCAAGTTGCAAAGTTACTTCGTAACTAGATCTACATTTTTGAATCCAGATAAGCCATAGAGCTTAACTTTTGAAGGAACTTGCTTTGAGGAGAGTTTGGCTGCCCTGCCTGCCAGAAGGAAGACAGCTCTCCTGGACAATATGTGTTTTGAACCAGCCAGCCCTCTGGAAGCCTTCTGATGGTCTACCAGCAAACCCAAACACCTTTTTTGCAGCTTACGCAGCTAGCGAGGCTTACAAAACTTGCACTTAGGCAAAACATCTTGAACGCACTGTAATCTGGGAGACAGGGGAGTTCCGAGACAGAGCTATAAACAGCAGGGCATGGTGTTAGTCAACAAAGGCTGAGTTGGGTATTTATCTTCACTGATATCCATACAAAACATCTCAGAAAATAGAAGGTATTGCCAAGCATCTCCAGGTATGGTACAAGAAATTCCTGCTACAGGAATTTTCACTTAGATTTTCTCTAGTTTTCTGCTTCTGGAGAGCCCCCCCATCCCCATGCACTGTACAGCAGGGACAGCAACAAGGTCACGGTGCAGCTGGGAGAGCCTGCTGCCAAGTCTGCCTGGCTGCTGGGAAACAGCTTGGGCCCTGATAAACGTGGGGATGGGGATCAGGTGGAGAGGAGGCACCGCAGACACTGCTTCCGTGGGGTTGCTGCGGTGGGAGGAGAGCTCCAGCAGCACCCCTGTAATTGGGCTTCACTGCAGCTTTCTGTAATTTGATTAAAGAGCTTTCTGAACGCAACTGCTGTATGGAGCCACCGGGCTGTTCTTCTGAAATGAAACCGCTCAGCTCGGTGTCGTCACTCGAATTTTAAATGGGTAGTTTGTGTGCAGCTAACTCGGAGATTGCTTTGGGAGAGCTGACCCTCTGGAACAGCGGCAGTGTGAGCCAGCTGCAGTGAGGTGCTTTATCTCTGTGTTGTCTACAGCATCAGCGCAGTCTGTGCGGGTGCAGCGGGCCTGCACCGGCCTCATGGGCTGAATGGAGTAGACTGAGACGTTCTACTGTTCACGTTTCATTTTCTAGTATTGAATTATTTCAGGAAGAGCAGTAGGGTTGCTTTCCATATGCCATCCCTCAAATTAATACAAAATTGTCATAAAGGACTGATCGTTCCTTCATTCTCTGTTGCTCGAGAATCTCGCTTAACTCTCTGAGTAATGTTTGTTGCCACAGAAATACGTTGCTCTTGGGGTGAGGATCACTGCGCTGCAATGCACTTTAAGCAGAATTAATGTTTTAAGACATAAAAATTGTTTTAAAATAGTAAATAAGTATCTTTTTTTGAAATACCAAATAGCATTGTTGCTTACCAAGATTTGGTTGTCTTCTTTCAGCAATCAGAGAGGATGGCATGCCAGGAGGAAGAAACAAGAGTATTGGACCTGTCCAGGTGAGCACATGCAGAAATTTCTCCAGGGCTCTCTGTTGTTCTTGTTCTGTTGACCTTGGCAGTCATTTCTGCAGCAGCTGGGTTTCTCCCTGCTGTGGCTGGGGAAAGGCAAGCAGCTGGCCATTTTGGGATGGGGAAGGTGAATAATTTCTGCAGGAGGTGCATTTTCCAAGTGCTTTGCTTGCCATTACTCCTGGTTCTAGCTGCTGGGAGCCAGTCACGGGCAGCACACCCTGGAGTGGAGAAAGAGGCACTGAGCGCCTTTGGGAGGACACAGGGGCAGTGGTGCTTTGGCAAAGGTCCCCCAGACATGTCCCTGCCTCCTGCTAACACAGCAAGGGTTGGCCACCCTGTCTGCTGCAGGTGCATGCCACAGTCAGTAGGTTTGTAAGTAAAGTTCAGCTCTGCTGTCTGTGGGAGAGGACGCATTGCAGCCTTGGGGCATCATGGTGTGTGCCTGCATGGGCAGCCTGGGATCCCTGCACTGCTGCTTGAGCCGTCAGAGCTGCTTGTCCTTCGTGAGCAGCACAGGGACCTCAATCCCTTCAAAGCTCCCAGTAAATCTTGTAGGCTGTGCACTGCAATTTCTTAAGTTGTTGCAAGAGGAGCTCCCAGTAAATGTCTTGCTGATTGATGACATAGCTTGTCTGGAGACGTCTTGTAAAAAGCGAGGTAATTCAGCACAGCAGCCTGTACTGTGTGTGTGAGGCATGACGGCTGTTTCCAGCTGGCTTCTGGAGAAGCAGTCTTTAAAAAGTTTACAGTTTATTTTAATAAAACAGAAAGAACACCAAAAGCATTTTCTGAGACAATGTACTTATGAAAGCACTACTCACTACAGTGCAAAATGAAAAACATGAAAAGCCAGGCAGCCAGGAAGTGCAGATCCTCTGTGACTGACCAAGGCAAGAATTCCTGCAGCCCCACTGGCTGCCAGCAGTGGAAGGGAGGCAGCTCAAATCATAATGAAAATCATATAGCACTTTCTGCTGTTTGCAACCATCATATTTATATTGTTAGTTTCTGATTCTTAAAGTCCACGTGGGTCTATCAAGGAAGAACAAACTTTTATTTCTGGCCAGGTGGTGACTCAGTTTTTAATGCCTCTCTGCAAAATGCAGCTTTAATAGAAGAGTGGCCTCTGCTAGTCACAGCAGGCCCTGGCCCTCTGAGCGCCGTGTGGTTGGTCACTGCTGAGCCATGGATCATGCCATCAATTCCATGTCCTGGTGTGCAGCTCTTTAATTATTGCACTCTTCAGATGTTGTACCTGGTAAGCCTAGTGTGGTTGTCTAACAGTTTTCCAGGGCTGGAATAAACTGTTTGAACAATGTTAGGTACTTGAAAATGATGTTCAGAGTTCACTGCCCTTTCTTGCATCATGGCAGTGCGAGGTCTCCCCATGCACAGACAGCCTCGCTAAGAGGAAATACAAAGAATTAATCAAAAAAAAGCTCAAAATGTGGATGTTGCGTATTCCTCACAACTGATGTAACTTCCCCAGGAGCATATGCAGCTCCTTGAAGCGTTGCACCGTGCTCAGTACTGAGTGATGCTGTCGATGGACTGGCTGCAACCGCTCTGTGGTTTTGCGCTCTTTGACAGCGGCTGATTTACGGCGCAGTGCTGTGTGTGTCTGACATAATCCCTTTGTGTGTCCATTCCTCTCTGCTCTGTTACTGACACTTGAATTGTACTGCTGGAGCTGAAGGTCACCGACATCAGCTGTAAATAGAATTTTTTATGTGTTGTTAAATGTAAAGGGAGAATGTGGTGTTTGTAGCAACAGTGAAGGGCAGGCCGGCTCCAGCCCCGCTCAGTGCGGCGGGCGTTCGCATATGGAAGCTCTGCCTTGTTTTCTGTTCAGTGGAAGTAGCAGCTTGGCACTAACTGCACTGATCTTATTTCTGAAAGATATCGGAGGAGGAGATTGAAAGAATTATGTCTGGACAAGAATTTGAGGGAGAGGCAAACATGTCATGGAGCAACAATGGAGACAGCGACCACAGTTCCCCTGGAAATGGAGTTTCTGAGAGCAACCAGCCTTCACCTGTGTCTACTCCATCTTCAAGGTGGGAATTAACTCTGGAAGAGTTTCATCTTGTAATAATTCTGACTGTTTCCCTGAGTGATGCCTGGGGTCAGCGTAGGAGAAGTTCACTGGGAATACTTCTGTGCGAGCTGAACGTGCTGCACATCCTTACGTCTCTAAATGCACTTTCAGGAAAGCAGTAACTGGATTGAGAAGTACTGAATTGAGAAATGAAATGCTCATGTTGAAATGAAAAAAAAAAAACGGCAATGTTGAGTTAAAATGTTAATAATTGAACTAGAGCTCTTAATTTGTATTGATTTTATTTTTTTTCCTGCAGATTATGGAGAATTGATTAGCTTTCACTGCTCGATCTGTATAAGCTCTTTTGCTTTTCTGTGCTCAGATTTTGAAAATAAATGGATTCCATTTAGGTTACTAATTGGTGGTGGTGTTTGTGAGCTACCAGTTAGTGCTGGCCTCTTGATTCAGCATTGGACACAGCAAGGATCTCAGGCTTGCAGTCCATCTGCTTTCAGTTGTACTGTAAGCTAGGAGGTATTTGCTTTCCCTGCTGACATGAACTATTTAATTTACAGTCACAAGTTCTGTTCCTTTAAGAAAGCAGGAGTGGAAGTGCTCACTGCAGTCGGGTGTCTGCTCAGAATGGCTGCTCAGCAACTGCTCCCAGCACTTTGCTCACAGGAACTGGCCGGAGCCGCGCTCAGCACAAAGCACCCGATCTGCACCTCAGTTATTTCCAGTGTAGGATTTAAACACAAAGGGTTTTTTCATTCTTTCATTGAGGTCTTTTTCTTTTCTGTTTTAATCCATATATTCTGTAGATGGATTTTTAACATTTTAATGAACGAGGCAGAGTTTTTTTAGTATATTAAAAAACTTTACCTTTTCCAGTAGGTCCGTGGAGCTGAACGGATTCGCTGCACTCAGGGATCAGTATATTGGGACGCCAGTGTCCACGCACTATCAGTACCTCCCGCACCTTTTTAGCTATTCTGCCCACTCGGCGCTGGTGCCCCCCCAGACGCGCAGCCTGGACCCCCAGTCGCACAGCCTGATCAACCAGCTGGTGTCAGCGGAGGACCTGGAGCCGCTCGGCACACCGATGCTCATTGAAGACGGGTGAGTGTGCAGCCCTGAGCTGCGCGTTTCAGGCTGCGCTGCCATGAGCTGCCGTGCTGCCTGGGGTGCTGCAGGTACAGGGAGCCTGGGGAGCTGCTGCAGCCGCATTGCAGGCAGCAATGCAGAGCCTGTCCTGTGGCGGGGCCGTGCCTGTGGCTGGCACTTTGCGGAGTAGTGCAGTCTGTACGTGCTGGGCTGAGGCTGCGTGGCAACGGAGTTCAGTGGTTTCACCCCGAGGTTGCACTGGCGATGCACAAGGGCTGGTGACAAGCACCACAGCTGGAAAAGTACATGGGACTGGAGTGAAGTGGGGTCAGCTTGCTGGGACCACTTGCTCTGTGCCCAGGACCTGCAGGTGCTGCCTGGGGTGAGCCCAGCTGCAGACGTTCTCCTCTGGCCCCAGCAGGCACTGGCAATCGCTGCTGCTGCCGCCAGGTGACACTCTGGGCACCGGCATTCCGGGTGCTCGCACACCAGTTCTGGTGACATTTTTCTTGCTTTTCAAGTGCCTTGTTAGATTGTGTCATTCTGTGTTTTTAATTTTATGCCTTCATATTAACTCTGCCTGCAGGTATAAAGTGACTCAGGCAGAGCTGTTTGCATTGTTGTGTCGTCTGGCGGATGAATTGCTTTTCAGGCAGATTGCTTGGATCAAGAAGCTGCCATTCTTCTGTGAACTCTCAATCAAGGACTATACCTGCCTGCTCAGCTCCACCTGGCAGGAGCTGATCCTGCTTTCCTCGCTGACTGTTTACAGCAAACAGATCTTTGGTGACCTCGCAGATGTCACCTCCAAGTACTCGCCCTCTGACGATGAGCTGCACAGGTGAGGTGCTGGTGGGAGTTCTGTGCTGGCGGTGTGTGCTTGAGACTTCATATGTGGCAGGCTGTGGTAGTCAGTGCTGAATGAAGGCTTCTTTTTGCAGGGAGGTGTAGGATGTTTCCTTTCCTTTTGGTCATGCAGCTGGAGTGGATGTCCTGTGATTTCAGTTTGTGGTTTCTGTTGAGACTGAAAATTTTTCTGCTTAATCTCTGTGGCTGTTCTGTGTTTCTCAGAGCGTGGCAGATTTCTTCTTAATTTTACCTGAACTTTCTCTACATCCTTCTTTAAGGATTTTTGCTACATGTTTTAAATCCATTTTTTTATTCTTATTTCTTTCATGAAAGTTGTAGAAATCAAACCATGAGGGAAAAAAAAAAATGCAGTGTGAGTGTAAGTCCCCTTTTAGCTTTTGTTTTCAAGCTAACAGCACTAACAGCCAGAGAGGCTTCTGGCTGCCTGAGCAAATAGCTGGACAGAGACTTTCTGGCTATTGGAAGAGAAAAGATGTGCTGGTTGCATCATCTTGAGGGTGACTCTCCTGTAGCAATGCCATCTCACTTCAGCACAACCCTACAAACCAACTTTATTGCGGGGAGAATGAAACAAATTAATCTGACACTGGGTAACCCTGAGATACAAAAGGTCTTATTGAAAGATTGTTTGGGCAACGGAAAGATTGTTCACAAAGCTAGTTGTCTTTATTATCAAAGTGTTCGTTATTAATTGCCATTTCATTGTTTTGATTTCATAAATGTAAAGATGTTGCAACTTAGCTGTTGTTTTTCCATAATCTGTACTATCTGATGCTCTGAGTAACCTGCCTGTCATTTATCATTTTGGCCAGGGTGTTGGGTTTTCATGCCTTTTTTTTTTTTTTTTTTTTTTTTTTTTTTTTTTCTTCCTTCTGTAGTCTTGGTGCCACACAGATCCTTTTGGCAGCAGTCAAAATCTTACAATATCATGATGAAATAGGCAGGATTTACCTAGGCTGCTGCCCACCTTCTGCTTTATCATTTGCTCTGTTGGTGCTCTGCCTGTGCTGGGCTTGGCAACATTGCAGGAGTCATCGGGGGATCTAAATGTTTAGTAAGGAGAGATTTAGAATACGTCTCTCCCCTCAGGTCATCGTCTCACCAAGCAGTTCCTTGAGGTTCCTTTGTGCATCTCCCTTCACCCCTTGGAGACCAACTTGCTGAGGGCCACAGGGGAGGTGAGGGCTGGCCACAGGTGCCTTGTTTCCTGGGGCAAGTCCCTGCTCCATGCTCAGCCCGGCTGTTGCCATTCATCCTGTGCCTGGTGCTGCTCCTGCAGGGAGCAGCGTGGGTCAGAGGGAAGCACAATAACACTTGTTCCTATATTCATCCTTCCTTTTGTTTGCACTGTCCTGGTCAGAGCCTCAAAAGAGAAGAGTGTGTTTCATTTGGAGTTTGTGATAAATACGAGCGGGAGGGAAGAAAACAGGACAAAGGAGGAGCCCTCCCCCTTCGGAAAGGGCGATTCAAAGCCCGTAGCCTCAAAAGTCCTTCAGAGGAGATCTGTGCACATGGGTGAAAATAGGCATTCTTAGGAGTGGAATGCTGCTGTGGTCTCTTCTGATTTAGCTTTTCAAGTATCGCTAATTGTCATTAAGGAAAATAGGAAAATGCACACCAAAAGCCATTTGCGGGAAGCTGCACAGATGAGGGCTGAGTCTCTGTTGTCTTTGTGGCAGCTTCTCCATAGTGAAACTGCCTGCATGTGGCAGGGGGACATACGCTCCTGACAAGCTGTTTCCTTCGGATTTGTGAGGAACTCATGAAGAGAGGTTTCTGCCTGGAGAGGTTTCTTGAAGAGCTTCCGTTTCCTTGGAGAACTCCAGTGCTGATTAGTGGTTATTGCAAAATGAAGTTTGATCTCACAGCCGGCTGAAAACAATTGCTGTGAGCTGTGCTGGTCCAACTCCTTGGGGTTATTTCAGTATTTTGCAAAATGACAGGAGCAACTCTAATGCTTAGGTAGGTGGCAGTGAACGCATCGGATGAGCTCCTGAGTCTTATTCCACTCTAACAGCAGGCTGAACGTTCTCCTGGGCTGCTGGATCAAATGTTTTCTTTTATTGTGCTGTTTTCTGTAGGTGAATATGAAATGAATGGATTCCTGACCTCTCCCAGCACTCTTCTGATAGCACTTCTCTTCCCCCTCTTCCCAGCTGATCCTGATAACCCATAGCCAGAAACTCGCCTGGTATAAACTGCGAGGAAAGGTGTGTGGAGGAGTTGGTCCTCGGGAAGAAATAGGGCTGTGAAAAACAGAACAGCTTTGTTTGAAAGGGGGAGGAAAGTATGCATGGAAAACTAAGACAGTTCAACTGCAGGAATGAGAGAAGAGCTCTCCTGGATTTATGAAGTGATGAGTGGCTGGTAAAAATATGCATGCTCTAAAAACAATTAAACTCCACAGACAACTGAGTGGTCTTTGTGCTCATTAACTTCTTGAGCTTTGCAATCTTGCACCTGCAAGATTTTTAATGTCAGCTTGAGAGCAAGAAAACTTGTACAACTTTAGATTAGCCGACAAGGCTTTCATCACTTACAATATTACTTTCCTGAAGAACTGACCCGAAGTTCAGATAGCTTGTTTTCACTTCTCTGAGGCCAACCTCCACCGTGCATTTTACAAATAACTTTGAAGTAAACAAACATACATGCCAAAATAAGGTGTTATTCACTGAGAAGAGTTCTATTTTCGTTCTATTCAGAGCTGACTTTCTGGCTGCGCTCTTATTCTTTGTGCGGCACAATGGCAGAGCGCAGCTGAGGCTTCCCGAAACACTTCTGTCCCACTTCTGAGGATTTATGCAATACACGGTTTCTTTGAAACCAGTGATGTTGTGGTGAGAGGCACTCAGCAGAGGCCGGTACTGGCCATTTGCACACGTGGGCAGTGCCTGCAGGCACCAGAGCTGCTCTGCACCCTGCAGCTCGCTGCTGCTTCTGCCCTGCAGCATGGGGCTGGGTTCTGTGCCCTCAGCTCTGTGTCAGGCCATTTCCCGGGGTGGAAGGGCGCTTTCCCTCTGCGACGGGCTGCCCTCTGCCACCTGCTGGGTCCTGGCTTCTCTTGGCCAGGGTGGGAGCTCAGAGGGAAGCCTGCAGCTTGTTTTTAACAGACTTCCTGTGTCTGAGGCTGACGGTTTTTGTGGAAACATCTCATCCCCCTCCTGTTTATAGAACTTCGTGGATGTTTATAGTCATGTGTATTGGACTGGGCTCCCCCACAGGACTGTATCTCCTCACCTGCTTGCTTTGAGCCCATGCTGCTGTGTGACAAATAGTCCATCTCTGTGTGCTGTGCTGACAAACAGCAGGGCGGCCGTGCAGGGAACTGGGAGCTCTGAGTGCAAGCACCATGCGTTCAGAAGCAAACACACCTCATAGAGGGAGAACTTGGGACTGGCAGTAGTGATGGCTGCAGGTGCCAGCAGTGGGCCCATGACAGCCCTCACTGGTGGCAGTGCTGCTGCCGTTGGGTTTCAGAGTGCGTGTAGAAAGCACAGTGACTCCTGCATGGCCTGTTTGGGGGAAGGGCTTCAGAAGGAAATAGCCTTCCTTAGACTGCATGATTAACCTCAGGCATTGTGTCTGCAGCCTGGAGTTCCACCTGCGTTAACCTTGGTTATTTGTGTTTTGGTGCATATTTGTATTTCTGAGGAGGGTCCTGGCCTTACTGCAGTCTCACCACGAGAAGCTCTCAGCCGAGGAAGACGAACAAAGCATAATGGGCAATAAATATGGTTGTGTGGAAGTATGGAATCTTTGTTATTTACTCATGGGAATTTTAGGGAGGTGATGGCTGCTCCTCACCTGTCCATTACATAATCGGGGAGCGTTGTTGTGCTTGGGTCAGTGTGATTCTGTGATGTTAAATCAAATGGCATTACACAGATGAAAGAAATTGTGGGCACTTCTGGTGTTGGAAATACGAAGTGAAGGAAAATGCCTGCCCCGTGAGGTGGGAAGGCACTGTCCTGATGGTGACCTGGGGCAATACAAGTGTAGAGAGGCAAAGCAGCCTGCCTGTAAGCATACGAGAGGTAACTGCATGTTCCGTGCTCCACTGGACAGCTGGAGCAGGGTGGGGATAAACTGAAGCACTTCCTTCTACTTCCATTTAACAGTCCCAGCAGACTTGAAGCAGTTTTGGTGAGGGTTTTTGAATACTGTTGCAAGATTTAAAAATCTCTGAAGTTACTAAGATGAGCTTCTTGCTTTTGTTATGTGGACTGTGCCCCAAATATGTTGATATGTGATCTCTGTCCTCCAGATTCAGCGAAGAGGGAATGGAGGTGATGGAGCGGTTGATCTACCTCTTTCGCAAATTCAACCAGTTGAAGGTCAGCAACGAGGAGTATGCATGCATGAAAGCCATTAACTTCCTAAATCAAGGTGAGTCAGTGAAGAGAAGGAATCAGTCCTGCTGGAGGAAGGACCTGAGACCCAGGGATTGATGTGGGCTCTGCAACCCCTCTGCTGTCGTGCAGATAGCAGACATCTGTGTGAGGAAGTTCTGAAGTGAAGGAATGCTTTTGCTTGGTTGCTTTTATTGCCTTTAAACGTAGACACCAAAGACAGTGCTTGTGCCATACATACAGCTGGAACGTATCTGAAATGTTCATATCAGAGTAAGAGTGTAACAGACTGGTAACATTTGTCTGGAGAACATTTGGGTGGCCAATTTCTTACCAGCTGCTAATGAACTTTTCACCAGTCATCTGGAATTGACATTGGTGTAGATAACTGTTTAGGCAAATCAACAATTAATTTGCATGATTTCTTTCCATAGTAAATAACAATCTTTCACAGATTCCAAACTGAAAATGCATTTGTTCGTCTGCTTGGGGGGGTGGCTTTGTAAAATTGGTCTTCCCTTCGTGGAGTTTTCCTGACTCTTGAAGGGATTTACCTTCAGGATTTTTGCTTAGGTCACCTAGTTGGCTTCCTATTTAGAGTCTTCGTCAATATATTTTCCTATTCCTAATGCTAAGTCTTTAAAGGGGGAAAGAAGTACTTATGTGCAGGCAATGGATTCTGCCTAACGAGGGATGGTATCCTCCTGTTGGTTAATCACTGTATTAGAGCCAGCAGCTCAGCCTGTTGCAGTGCCCTTGAAAATCTTCAAGTAAGTCAGTGCAAAATGAAATGTGGGCTAGTTCTTCAGCATGTGAGGAGATCCTGGTCCGCTCTAACAAATGTGGTGGGCTTGAAATAGTTTGGAATCAATAGGTTTGTTGTGATTCCCTTTCCAGTAGTTGGTTGTTGCCATTTCATGTCTGTGGAACCTCTTGAGACACTCCTTTATTGGTGTGTGTGCATGAACGAAGACATGTATGGAGAGGAAAATGCTTAATAGATGGTGCTCAGCTGTAATTTTGGAAATAAATGTCCCCAGAGTTTTTCATACTATGAAAGATGGTTGCAGTCTGTAAAATGTGCAGAAAACTCCCTCCTCCCCCACTCATTTTCACCAGGAGATAATGCTGACGCTTCAATGTGTGCCCGGGCTCAGATTCCGGTTTGCTTCCCTGGGCAGTTTCCTGACACTTCTTTAGCTGTCTCCATTGTTTTCCAAAATGTATTTTCATTAACTTCCTGTCTTCTTTTATTTTTAGTTGAAGTTTGCAATTTTTTATGTGACATACCTGAAAATTATTTTTAAAAGTCAGCTTTTGGGCAGCAGATAAATGCCTCTTCCGTCAGGTTGTCTCACAGGGCTGAGCCCGCAGTGAGGGTCGCGTAGTTTCCGTATCCAATGCGTTGGATCCCCCCAGGACACCCAGCAAATGTCATTGATCACGCTGAAAGGTGGCAGTGGCACTTCCTGCCACGCTGATGGCTTGGGAATGTCCATTTTCCTTCGTGTTCATTGCCTGACATGGATAAAGCTGAATTTTAAAATAAGAACTTGACAAGTTTGTAAAGCTCGTTTGACGTAATTCATAAGCAGATGGGAAGAAATATGATGATACCTTGAATTACAGTCAAAAGCTTTCCTCAGCCAAGATGATACAACCAAAATCACCGTGTTTCTGTCTGAGGAAGTATTACATTGGATCCGCTGTGAGGACAAAACCTTGACATGCAGCTGCTTTGCAGAAGCCAGGCAGGGATTTAAGGTTGCTCGAGCTGTTATCTGTGAGGGGTGCCCTGAGCACTGAAGATGAGCAGGTTAGGCCTTCAGCTCTTCCCTTCCATGCCTTTGTGGAAGGAGGCTTTGTGCCCAGACTCACCGGCACGAAGTCGCTGTGTAACTGGGCACTCAGCCTCCAGAACAGCGACCCAGATTAGAGTTTTAGAAGTCAGTCTGTCCTTCCTGAAGAAGCATGAATCTGCTGCTGTTCTCAGACGTTTTCCTTATGTTTTCATCACTCTGGTCATATTCTCTTTCAGACATTAGGGGTTTAACCAATGCATCCCAACTGGAGCAGCTGAATAAGCGGTACTGGTACGTTTGCCAGGACTTCACAGAGTACAAATATCCACACCAGCCAAACCGTTTTCCAGATTTAATGATGTGTTTGCCAGAGATACGATATATTGCAGGTAACTTCTGAGCTCTTCCCCCGCTGCGATCGTTTGATCTAGTGATGAAATCTGCTTTTGAAAAAAAGTTAACATGTGAGAATGGAATCCTTGCTCAGGGTGCTGGAGGGTGTTCATGTGAGACCTCGTTCTGTTCAAGCCCTGGCTTTGAGGCGGTCTCTGCCACCCCCAGGTCGCTCACCCAGGCTGACTCCTTGCCATGTTGTCCCGCTGTGCCAGGTACATGTGCTGTGTGCTCATGTTGCCCCGCTCCCAAGGAGTTAGGCCTCACCCCCAAAGTGCCCACGTTCAGCATTTCACTCAGGCTCGTATTTTATTTTCTCCCCTCCTGCTCGGCTCAGAGGCATTTTGTCTCAAGGAGCACTGAGGAGTGGTCCTGGTGTGAGTTGTGTCAGGAGGGGCAGGGAAATCCCTGCACGCTGCCTGGGACGCTCAGTGAACAGGGCAGCAGCAGACCTGCAGGTCCCCCCTGCCTCAGCTGCTCTGGGCCTCAGCACCTCTGAGACATGCAGGTGAAGTTCCTAGCTTGGTTGTGCCGCTAATTAGATCTGCAGGATCTGGTGTTATTAAGACATCGTTTGTTCCCAGATGTTACAGTGAAGGAAGATGCTTGTCTCCTTGTGTCAAGGCTCAGTGTGCTTCGTCCTACCCTGTTGTAACAAACCAGATAATAATCACATAATAGCTCACGTAATTTACTCGCTGAGATCAACAAGGGAGTTTGAGGAGAGACAGGATTTAGTCTTTCCCAGTTTCTATAAATACTGCTCCATTGTGGAGAAATCATTTTGATCTGACTTTGCCCATTTATTTAGCTTTCATTTCAGTAAATAATAAATCCTGTTGTGCCCAAATGGGTATCAAATGTCTAATGTAGCCGTAGGATGATTAACTGTTTCTCTGAAAGGTTCAAGGTAAAACCGTCATCAGTGGAGCTGGCTTAGGTGTCTCTCGGAAATCTGATTCGGGAATGGCTGCTAATTCTGATCTTTTTCTTAACAGGAAAGATGGTGAATGTCCCACTGGAGCAGCTGCCTCTCCTTTTTAAGGCCGTTCTGCATTCCTGCAAGACAAGCGTGAGCAAAGAGTGAGCCCAGCTTGGCCCCGGCCCGTGCCTTACTGTGTGCCTCAGGCAGGGAGCGGGCTCACCTCCAGAGGATGGGGGAAACACCATCAAGGCAGGAGGGAAGTGCTGAGACAGGGCAACGGGTGTCCCTGCCATTGTAGCAAGAATCTTTTGTTTGGGTTGTTTTGTTTGTTTGTTTTGTTTTTTACTCTTTTTCCTTATATATTTATTTCACGACAGAGTTGAATGTATGATCTTCAACACGATGCACATGGTTCTGTATGAATGCAGCAGATGCATTCTCCAGCAGTTTACAGAATGTGAAGATGTTTAAAGTTGCAGTGTTTGTTAGGGTTAGTTCTTTTGTATTTTGGGGCTGGGGACTGAGATGACTAAGACTACCTCAAGGAAAGATGCTGTTCGCACACTGCTCTTTTCATGATTTGTATCCAGAAGTGTTTGTCATAGAATGCAAACTGCCTCATTGACAGAGCTGTCAATATTCCAGATGGACAATTTTGGAAAAGGGGGTGTTAGAGAAGTGCCAAGCTTTTTTTTGTTTGTTTAAAAACTAAAAAAAAATTAAAAAAAAAAAAAAAAAAAAAAAAAAAAAGGAAGAAGACAGGGAGTGGAGAAGAAGGGAGGTCTGTCTGCCCAGTAGGTTTCTTTTCCTCCAGCAGTTTTCAGATGCAGGTGGTGCCTGCAGTTTTCTTGAATCCTGCCACCAGGATTGCAGGGCTCCCAAGGCAAGGAGGGCTCTCACCCTCATTCCGGCGATGGTGAGCTGCCCTCCTCCCCTAGCCTCCCCAGCTGGGCTGCCATTGTTGCTGCAACACCTTTCTGTTGGGTTGAAACTGTGCTGTCGCAGCTCATAATAGGCTCCCAACATGGCAGCAGTAAGGTACTCTTTTTGAGAGAGTGAGACCTGTCATTCTAATTGCTTCCTTAAAGTCCATTTTAGGTTCATAAAAACAGGAAAAACCTACTGAGGGAAGAGGCAGGGTTGCCCCTTTTAGTGTATTCCCCCAAGATGTCATTGACTACTGAGGAAACTTCTGCATTGCAGCCATCAGAAGCAGCTCATTTATGGGAACTGCTAACTTATCCTGCAGTGAAATGCAGCCTGCACAAGGGTGAGAAAGGACTCCAGGATCCTCTGGCATGGCTTTCTCTGCTGGACTCGGGGAGTGTGCACAGCCCATAGTTGTATCCTGCAAGGACAGTTTTATTGTTTAGTGGAATCCCTTCTTTCCAGAAAAAATTGGTATGACTACAGAGCTTGGTAAGCTGTTTGTCCCAGGTGTTGGGTTGGGCTTTTCCATCCAGCAACCTCCGCACCACTTCAGCGCGTGGAGGAATGGCTTAATTTAATTGCTCCATCCCGGCGTTTGGCTCAGTTTGAATATCTCGTGGGCAATCTCATGGTGTCCTTCCCATAGTGGTGGTGGGGAGTTTAGGGGAGGTGCTTTTATTTTGGTTTCCTTCATTAGCTGAGGAAGACGCAGTCATCCTAGGGCCACGCTACCCTGGCTGGAGTCCTTTCCCTGTGTCCTTACTGTGATCTTTTGAATGCTGTTTTTAAAATACTCTGGGAAAAACCTACTGTCTGCTCAGGGTAGGAGGATCCAGTTGCTCCCTTTCTGTCTTGTCCTGATAACAGCTGCATATTGCTCAAAAGTACTGAAGCTGCTATTAGATGAAGACGAATCTGATGGTGAACGGGAGAAAAATGTTGTTCACCAAAGTCACCTTTCCTTCCCTGTACTCATTCTGTGGAAGCCCAGGAGCCCTTGTGAGACTGGCTTGGCACTCTGGGTTGGTCAGCAGCGATGTGGGGCACCGGGTGCCGCCTGGAAGCCCTGGCTGCTCGCTCAGGCTGCCCCTTGGAGGTGTGCTGCTGGCTACAGAAGGCCCAAGGAGCACTGCTTTCTTTGGAATTCTGCCTGGGAATTTTCCAGCTCGATGGTTTCCCTTTTCTAAAAGTCCACTAGCTGTTCATTTTTCGCTATTTAAATACGAAGTTACGGGTAACAGCTGCTGGGACCAGCAGCAGTTCAGTTTGATAGAGCTTCACAAATCCAAAGCTGGTTCTGTAAATCTCATTTACTTTCTGACTGTAAAATGAGACAGGCACGTATTTCTCAGGAAGGCCTTCTGCATATGTCGTATACCTCAAGTGTAAATGGGAAGATTTTAGTTTATCTGTTTGTAAGTTAGAAAGTATTTCTTCGCTTTTAACTTTAATTTCCAAATAGCTTGATATAATCTTTTTATTACGGGTTATCTTCTGACTTGCTGTTCTATACACTCAAAGAATTGTTGAATTGAATAGGAATAATTTTATTCTACAATCACCAAACTTGTATAATCTGCTGATGAATGAGAGTTAGTTTTAATAAGTGTACATAAAAGCAGTCATCTTATTGCCAAATACCCAACAAAACCAATCTGTTTGTTATTCTGAGTTTATCCAAAGTGCTCCCAAGACTCAGGCTGCACCAACAACAAAACCCCTAAGTTCACTTAGGATGGTAAATGGACAACACGTGTTCTTTCTGCTGTATACACCAGATTTTGTAAAGGTCCATTGGCAGCATTTATTGTAGGGAGTGGAAGATCCTTACTAAACTGACAAGCAAGGGAGAAGTTAATATAGCAAACCAGAATGTAACTCACTGGACAGTGATTCTTAATACCTTCTGCACCGAGTCCTCTAATGACTTGTATTTTTTAAACAGGGTAAAGTGAATGTGTTGCTTTGCAAACTCAGGTATTATGAGAAGGTAGGAATGTAGCTAGAAATGTAGAGACGTTAGGTCAGTCGCTAGATGTATTTGTGAATTTGGTTTGAAGGACACCCTGGAAAGGTTGGAATTTTTGTTCCATTCTTCACGTAGCATTCGGTTTACAGGGCCTCATATTTTATTTGTGCTTAATGCTAGTAGGGGGAAGTTCATTATCTTTGGTATCTATCTGCTGTTGCTTATCTGACCTTCTGTCATAGAGGAATCAATCAACAATAATAGTCTTTGGTAGAATTTTCTGCCATGACAAGTCAATTTTTATCCCCGATTTGAAAGATAAATTGGCTGACTGACCCCCTCCTCTCCTTCATAGTATTTGTGCAAATGGAAAGCTGAAGAGTTACTTTTAATCCGAGCAGAGATCTGGGACATAAATTTGAAATGCAGGGGCTCACCTTTTCAGAGGAGCTCTGCGTGGGCATCTTGCTGCTGTTTCACAGCTCGCAGCTCATCATCAGCGGGGAGAATAGAGCAAAAATTGCTGCTGCAGGCGACGGGGGTGAGACCCCAGGACTTGAGCAGAAGCTCTGACAGCCGCTGGCTTTCCTTCCCCTGCTTGCTTCGGGTTGGGCTTCCGTCCCATGAGCAGAGCCGTGCCCCTGTGACGTGTCAGCAGCAAGATCTTTTGAGCTGTGTGTGGCTGCCAGGCCGCTCCGAGATGCCAGGAGCCTTCCTGACCTGACGGTCCTGGAGGTGTCGCAGTGGTGCCGGCCCCGCAGCCATTTTGCACACACGCCAGCTGCTTTCTAAGGGTGAGGCGTGCTGGTGGCTGCCATCTCCCTCGTCTCACCTTGCTGCCCGCAGAGGCGCTGCGTGCTGTGGGATCCAGCTGTAGGTCTGCAGCGTTGAGCTTTTCCAGTCTGCTGTCGCATAAGGACTGACGGGGTGCCACTGAGCGCGGCTGTGTGTGGGGCTCCTCAGCACGGGGCAGGCGCAGCCAGCTCAGGCCCGCTGTGTTAAATCTTGTCCTTCAAACCAACCTTTTTAAACAAAAAACTTGAATTTCTTTTTATTACATTTTTTTAAAACTACAAAACAACAAAAAAAATCTTCTGTGAATGTGCTATTTACCGTTCATTCTTTCTTCTTTCTTGGTTTTGATTTGAAGCTATGAAGCTTGGTGTCTGTGAAGTGTTGTTATTTCTGTATTTCTCAGGATAAGAAGCGGCAATCATCCCTGCCATGTCGAAGGCAGGAGAAAGGGGGAAACGTGGGGAACTACTTTAGGTGTGAAGCTGATTTTTAAGTTTTAGATGATGTATGAATCGGGGGTGATGCATGAGATGTCAGGATCAAGCCGTAGTGTTTCTCTGGGTTCTCAGTGTGTTGTTTGCAACACACAGCAGCTCAGGGATAAGTATTTAAACGTGACCCAGAGAAACCCTAAGTTTTGATGTTGCAGTGGTTGCTTCTTTCATGCCTTGTCTGGAGGACTGTATGAGATCTGAATGGAGCCTCCCCTGGAGATTCGGGGGGCTGGGAAGCGTGCTGCCTCCCACTCAGCACCCTGGGAAAGCAAGGGGCGACGTGCCGTCCTCGTGGGGAGCTGCGCTTCCCCTGGGGGTGCGTCGCTGCAGGGAGCGGGAGATTCCCCCCGTGCTTCCATGTACAAAGCACCTGGCAGCTCATGGAATCATGGAACCATTTGGGTTGGAAAAGACCTCTAAGATCACCAAATCCAACTGATGTACCCCATCCTTTTTTTGCCTCTGTGTCACGTGTTCACATGCTCATGGGAAAGCTGAGATTGGGTGTTACTCAATAGGACAGTCTGGCAGACAGTCCCGTTCCTGCTGTCGGTTGGTTACTTAGGAATTGAAGCATTTTCATTTCCATGGTGCAGCTTCCTCTTCCTGCTTCTCAGGGCATCTCTCAAATCTGTGCTCTCTGCAGCTGCCTGGGGGGCACCCGCAGGCTCTGCAGAGCAGCAGCACTGGGCCAGGACCAACGTGGGCAGTGGGGCCACAACCTCACAACCTGCTCCATCGGCTGTCCCAGCACCTCGGGTGTGTGCAGAGATCTGGGGGGCAATGCGGGCAATATCTCTGCTGTGAAAAAACATAGAAAAAAAGTGAGAGATACTGTGCAATTGACCTCTAACAGGTCTATGAAAGAAGCAACACGTTCAGTGGCAGAAACGCCCCCAAGGGCAGAAAGAAACAGAAATTGAAACCAGATGACGATCAACCTTAACAAAGCCTTTTGTGATTCATTGTTTTCTTTCAATTTATAAAATGACTTGTAATAGTTGATAACATTATTGACTCAATTTCCATGACAAAACTACCTCGTGTGACATCCTGTTTATCATCTCAAAGGGATTGTGTGAAAAACGAAATGCTGCCGGGTTTGGTGCTGGTGCGGCCCAGGGAGCTCCGCAGTTGTTCCCCTGGTGCTGGAGCGGCTGTGATCCGCAGGCGCTGGGTGCTGGAGTAGCAGGGCAGAAGCGCTGCGGTGCCGCACGGGGCTGAGCTCCGCGTTCCTCGTAGTGCAGAACGGTGCAGGATGTGCTCTGCCGGCTTGACTTGCTTGGTGCCCAGCCTGGAGCAGACTGCAGCCCCGTCCCTGCACTGCTGGAGCTCTGCATCCTGGCTCACAGGGTGTGCCCGAAGCGGGACGGTCCTGGTCCTTGGGACCCTCCGCAGATGTTTCCAGCGATGGTTTCTTCCAGCAGCACGCTGTGTTTTTCCCACGATCCCTTGTGTAAATCAGGGAAGCAGGATGTCCCCTGGCATGGCATGCTGTTACAGCTGGAGCCGGCCCGGCCTCGCTGCGGCCCCACTGGCGTCCCCCAGCCCGCACGGG